AATCTGACTTAGAGTACTTTTGTATGAAGACGAGTTAGTCACATTGTGAAAGTCTGTAAAATATTATAGATTTACTTTAATTTTTCAATAAAGACAAGCCATCGTGGCATGATTGTGGGTTAAAAAAAAAAAAAAAAAAAAAAAAAAAAAAGTTAAATAACAGAACTATGTAATAGACTAAATAACTTAGAACCAACAGAACTTATAATAGTCATTAGAATTAAACAAGCACAAGTTAAATATTGAAAACCATTTAATCTACTTACCTATAAGTTATTAAATTATATACTAGATAGAGGTAACTTTGCATTTCAAGTAATGAAATTGATCAAAGATATAGAGATAAGGTTTCCAAGTTGGAAATAGCAAGATATTTTCAAATAGAATAAAGGTAACTACTTAATTAAAAAGTACCTAACATCAAATAACTATATGAAAGCCATATTATCACTTAGAAACAATAAACTGATATATACTGTATATATTAGCTAATCACTCATGAAACTAAAGAACTAAAAGATGGCAAATAATCCAACTAATTCTGAAGATTAATAAGAGGTCTATTCCAAAATATATCTTTAATAGAAAGGAGTATATAAGAAAGAGGACCAGAACAGCTTACAAAATTTTGAAAAGAAAACTGATCAAAATGGAAATTAACAATTACAAAAATAAATCCAGATTATAATAGAAGACAAATACTTTTGATAGTAACAAGTAATAAGTATTAGAAAATAATATGAAAAAAGTTAAGATTAGAAAACACTAAGCAAATAATACAAATAGAACACTTCAAGTATAATGAATTTCCAAATAATTAGGAGACTAGCTTGACAAAATGTTTAGAATGTATAGAAGATAAAAACATGAAAAGTCAATATATAATAGAGACAAAAAAAAAATAAAACATATAAAGTTTCCTATCTAAACACAAGGAAATCCATGAAAAGAACCTAGTAGTTAAATATTCCAAGTTTTAAAATAGTTTTAGAAAGAACAATAGAAAAAACAATCCAAGATAATTACAAATCCAATTTGAACAATAGAGTAAGTCAAGTAAACATAGAGAATTAGAAAGAGTAGATCATCAGAAATAATATAAAAGAAGAAGTGTATCAAGAATAACTAATTAAAATATCCCAACATAATTAACAGTCCAAAGAAATATTAGTCTTTTACTCTAATGGATTTTTTATCAATTATGGATATAAAAAAATAAAAATGGGAGCAGCATGGATACAAGTAGAAAGAGAAGGTAGAAAAAGTAAGTTTCAAATGGAAGTAGGTGACTGGCCATCATTCACTAGAGTAGAACTAGTAAAAATAGTCACAATATTACTAGTTGTTTTAATAAACAATAAGATCAAAATTTTTACAAACAGTCAAGCCTGTATTGTCAAATAGAAAATAATAAAGAAAAAGAATTTTAAAAAAAATCACAAAAGATAGTTGAAGGAAAAGAGCTAGTTCCTATAAGCAAGAATATTGAATATTATTAAAAAAAAGAAGTGAATCTGAAACTGGTTAAGGTTAAAGCACACTTTAACAATCTATATAATGAAGAAGTAAATACTCTAGCAAATGAAGTCTTAATGCTCTTTATAAACTAATAGAAAAATCTTACTTCATTCAAAATTATTACCAAAATCAAATAGCATAAAAAGACTTTAGATAATTCTATAAGATAGTTTATTAAAAACATGAATAGCAAAGTTAAAACTCATTAATGGACAAAACAAACCAGAATTTCGAACAAATAGAATCAATAAATTTAAGATCAACATGACTATACATAGGATTTGATATGGAAAAGGATAAAGAATGGATATACTTGAGACATCTCCTTTAAAGATTTTTAAGAAAGAAGTTTCTTTATTAAATTAATCAATGAAGAGTTATCAGATCTATATAAATAAGTAGAGTATATAGTATGTAAACAATAAATAGAAACAATAGAATACCTACTAAAATATCTAGTATATAAAGTCCAATAGCAAGAAATATAGAACAAAGAAACTGAAGATATTTTAAAAGACTTTCAAAAACTTTTATATGAGAAAAGAAAAGATATACAAGAGAAAGAAATAAGGTTTCTAGTAGAAAACAGAGTAAAATTAGAAGAATTGAACAAATATATAACTAGGCTTATAAAAGAGACTGCAAAAACAGATCAGAATATGTTAAACTTCTATATAGGACTAATATGAAGTGATTAAATATTAAAAATATCAAACTTACTGTAAAATATTGTCGGAAAAGAATAAATAAAGAAGTCCAAAAGTGGATAATGAAAATATAGAAGAAGGTTTGTAATCAATTCTAAAAGAAGATCTAAAATAAAAAATACTAAGAATAATCAAGTGGGAACAAGTACAAGAAATCTATAGAAAAGACAAAATAAAAAGATTAGTCAATTCTTTGAATCAGAACAACAAGATCAAAATTATAAAAAAATCCATACAGGAAAAAGAAAAACTTGAAGATAAAGGTCTGAAATAAACCTTTCTAGAAGGAGTAAAGTATGGAATATGATAATTAGAGTTTTAATTTCTATCAGAACTCACAAAAAAAATCTGTAGTAATAATCTGTAGGTAATAAAATTAATAGTTAAAAGGATTTTTACCTAAGCTATTAATGGAACAATAAATCACTCCTGAAGTTGCACTTAGAGTGGTAATAATCAAAATGAGTAAGCTAATTAGAGATTTAACTTTAGTGATTTATTTCATATGTATAGTATATTAATGTTTAATAAAGCACACATAATTAGTCTGATAGAAGGTAAAAAAAAAAAATAAAAAAAAATAAATATTATAATTAAATTTTTTCAATATATTAATTATTTTTGAAAATAATTTATAATTAACAATAATCTTGATAAATAAAAATCAGTAATATCTATTTATCAAGAAAACAAAATATTGTTTCTTAAAAATATTTGATTAAAACTTTGTTTTATTTAAAATTCAAATTATTTTAATGAATTTATCTTATCTTTTAAAGTAGTATGGTTCTTTAACTAATGTATAACAAGTTAGCTATTATATAAATAGTCTATATAATATTGTAGATGTTTATTTAATGTCTTAAACGCAAAATGAATTTTCATATTTAAATATTTTTCTATTGTTAAAAATTTAAATTATTTATTATTTAATATAAAGTAGTCAGCTGACAATTACTACGGAACTGTTAACGTGTCAAGGAGGGAAAAAATTTTTCGTTTCTTATTATGGCAATTAAATTGATAACAAGCCCACCAGAGGTTTTAACACGAGAACAAGCAACCCAGTTGGATCAAAGTACCTTAGATTCAAAGGGTATACATCCAATAATTCACCATGCTCAAGATAATGTTCGTGTCGTAATCACACCTCCCACGACTAACGCCACTCTAGGAAAGGGAACTTTATGGGTTACCGAAAGGTATTCTATTCACAATATTATTTCATTTTATTATTTTATAATTTACAATGATAGTTATTAACGAAAGACGTGTAGCAACGTATTTTTCTACTCTTGGGAAACGAATACTGGATTGGTAATTGATTATCCAACAGTAATAATACATGCAATCTCACGACAACAAGCTTTAGATGGAACCGGGCCTTGCATTTATATTCAATTAGGAGAAAAATTAATTGGTTTAATGAATATAAGTCAAGAAGAATCACTGGAAGAAGAGGAAGAAGAGGAGACGCCAGAAATCAAATTTGTTCCCGATGATGTCGGTTCACGTATGTAGATAAAAAAATTTTTTTAAACTGACACATGGATTGATTTGTTTTTTGTTTTGATTGTAGTTGATGCAATTTTTGAAGGCTTATCAGAATGCGCAGCAATGCATCCAGACAAAGAATTCATGGAAGATGAATATCATGAAAATGGGGATGAAAATGAATGGTATACCGCTGCCCCCAGTGATGAACAAGAACTTGACGAAGTTAGAACAGTAAATATATATAACATTGTTTACCAGAAAATTGGCTACATAATGACGATATTATTTTGTCTAAAAATAATTATTATCAGGCTTCTTTGGCTTATTTGGATTCGATTATTGATCGACCGGTGCCGGACCAACAAGAATTATCTCAAAATCAAAATGAATATGACCAAGAAATGTTTGAAGATGCCAACGAAGAATAGTAGAATAATTTTAGTAGTTACAGGTTTGTGGTATCCATTTCACGCGTCATTATGCCTTTCATTTATTTATATATTTAAAATCAATTACAAGATTATATTGCGTTTTAAAACGCTTGATCCAATATATAAAAAAAAAAATGGAAAGTGGAGGGTGTTTCCGATTTTTATGAAGAAATCTTAATGTATATATTAAGTACTATCCAGGACCAACCTAAATTTAAAAAAGCCATGTTAATATAAAATTCTTCTTTTAATATCAACCATTTATTAAAAGAATAACCTTCGGAATATCATAATGTTCGGTCATTTCTTCTAGTTTTTTATTCAGCTCCTGTAATGTTTAAAATTTTTTTAGTAAAACTTCAACAGAAAGTAAAGAAAGTAAATGAATATAATCCATACCGCTACGCGTTCCTTGTGCGATTTGCGCGCTGCTTTCTCCACCTTCTCATCCAACTTTTCAAAGACGTAATTATAAAATTAGTTTAGTTATAACCCGACGTACTCAAGGAAAAAATATTAAAACAATAGGATACCCTCTTCCTTTGAATCTCTTCAAATTTCTTTTCAGCCTCGGTCCTAGTGACAACTCTAATCGGCTTGGTTTCTTCAATTAACTCTTTAGCAAGAGAAGACAATTTATCTTTATCCTTATGGCTTTTCTTCTTTTTCCTTTAACAAAAGAATTTTTTTTTTTTTTAGTAAGTATAGCATATTAATTCGCAAATGCGAGAACCGTAGAATTACTTTTTTATCTTGTTAGGATTACCGCTGTTTCCTTTAAGTTTCAAAGAACCGCCTGGCACATTATCATATTCGGACATGGTTAAAATTATTAAATAATATGACGTGCAAGATATTTAAGCAATTTATAGTTTATTTTTATTGGTTTTTATTGGATGTTTCAGAAATATGTGCCGACTAAATTTCGAAAAAACGCTATTTACAATGGAATTCTTGATAACATTTTTGACTGTTAAAATATTTTAAATTCGGTGGACATGGACCCGAAGAAAACACCGGAAAGGAGGTAATGCGCATTATTAAGTGTTGAGTTATTCACTGTAGGCAAGATCAAGAAAACAGTTTATTTAGTGTTTCATGTTCAAACTCCAGGAAAACTCTATCAACTAATGTTTCCACTCGATCATATAAACCTACTGCAATTTCTATACCCACATCCGAAGAAGTCTGGGCTAGGCTGCCTAAACATCACGTACCTGAACATGTTTCACAACCCAAGAAACAAAATTTACCACAAACTTCGATTCCGGGTGCAATGATCTTTTCCTACGCGACAATTGGTTCGGAAGAATATGATCGAACTTCACCTGATTCGATTCCTTCGAAACTCGCATCCAGTCTTCACGCTTATAGAAAAAATATTAATATTTGTAAACAGCCAAAAATTGTGCCATATGAATATAATAATGTAACCTATGGACGTATACCAATATCATCAAATTTTAAAGCAGCCTTCATCGAAAAATGGAGTCTTGACACAGATCTTTGCGAGAAGACTTCTAGTGAGCCTTTAGTGATATTAAACGCGTCTTCTGATGATTTGCAAGAGTACCAGTCGAATACACAATCACACACAGAACAGTTACCAAAGCAGAGATATGTAGAAGACCTCATAGATGATGAATATCCACATATGAATACATACGAAGTGAAAGAGTCTCCAAGGAAACGTAAACATTCGTTTCATGAAACTTCAAATGATCAGGCATCCCAGACGCGTAAATTATCGAGCCCTAATGATGACAAAGAAACCGAAAATACTGCACACATAAACGAAGAAAATCAATCGCACAATGTGTCGTCTAGCGAGATTTATTCTGATAACGAAGAACGATTCATTAATTCGAGCTCAAAGTTTACTCTTAAGAGGCGGGGTCCGTACGTATTATTATTCTTTCCACTTTTATAGCAGAGAAAAGTGCGATTTTAATCTACTTGAAACTTCAGTAAACCTTCCTATAAAGAGTCTCTGGCGCGAATAAATTCCAATATGGACTTTTTAGAACGTCTAAAAATATTGGCACCTGAAGCGGCAGCAGTTTATGATGATTTAGAAGTTGTCGAAGAATCAAAAGATACTGATCAAGTTAACACCGGACATATGAAAACACATGATAATAAGAGATGGAAAACAAAAGATACCGAGGAATTTTATAAGGTCTAATTTTTATTATCATTTTTTCTAAAAATTCTTGGTTTTTACTAATTCGAAATTCCTTCTAAATAGTTGGTAGCATTTCTGGGGTCAAATTATAAAAAAATAGCCGAACTGACAGGAAGGTCGATTCTCCAAATAAGAAAGAAATTTAAGAAAGAGCAAAATAAATCACCAGAACGACTTCATGATGCCTTAACGAGAAATAGAGAATTTTTAATTTATAAAAATTTTCTTTAATATGATTTAAGTGATTATATTGATTAAAAAACTAGTTGCCATCCAAACGCCAAAATTCCGGCCAAATTAATATATCGATTGTTTTAATCATGATTTTAATTAATGCCAAATAAATTAATTATATATACTTTATTTAATTTCTTATTTCAGTATTATTTTTATAATCCATCTTTAAAAAACAACCCCTTTTGAAGGTTTTTTTTATTTGTCCGGTTTGGGTAGCAGAGATTTTTACGGCACCTGTGCAACATTACACTCGAGTGAAATTTCCAGATCATGAGGAAAAATGTAAAACGTGACTTAATCGCAGTCAAATTCGCGAAAATCGCGAAATTATCAAAATTGCCGTGAGCCGTATTAAAATTTCATAGATTTATACTATAAATAGAAATGGTTTTACTAAAAAAAATCATATTTTATATAAAAAAAATTTTTTTATTATTATAAAAATTTATAAATTTAAGTTACTATTTAAAAAAAAACTATAAATAATAATTTAAAAAATTTTTTATTTTTTTTTTAATTGGATTTGTAAGATATGAATTTCTTTTTCTTTTATTAAATAAGTAAGATATTTCTTCATCATTTATATCTTCTGAAAAATCAATAGAAAGTTTCTTAAAATTAGATATTAAATTTTTATTTGTTGATGAAATAAAATCATTAATATCCATTGTTAATTCATTATTATGGTTATTTTTATTTAAATTAAAATTATCAAATATTTCATCATTATTTATTTCTTCAATATCAATAATATTATTATCTATTTTATCATTATTTTTATTATTTTCATAATTACTTTCTTCTAAAGTCAATTGAGAATTAAAAGAAATAATTAATTCTTTAATTGATATTTATAATATTGAAAACAATAATTGCAATTAGAATTTAATAAATTATTAAAACAAATAATATAATTTTTTTTTTTTTTTAACCCGCAATCATGCCACAATGGCATGTCTTTATTGAAAAATTGAAAATGAATTTACAATAT